AGTGGGTGTAATCTGACCGCACCCTATCGTGAATACAATTTACATCTTATTAACATTCCACCAGTCGCGTATCGTGGAAAAGGTCTATAAGATCTTTAGTCTTTCAAACAGTTCCATTTTAAAATTATCTGAACAAAAACGTTATACATATAGTGTGTATTGGAACAATACTTAAATTTTGATCCATTGTCTTTCAAAACATTGTAGTCCTTCAATACCTAGTGGGAAATGCAAACACTGACATCATTATTATGACAATCTTGACACATAACTTGATATCCTTTATATTGCATGTCATTGTTCCACTAATGACAATATCTTAGAAATAGAAAGAGCTATATGCAAACATTATTGATAAGTAACTCTTCAAAATTTGATTTAGTCTTTAAAACAGTAGCTGTAATACCTTTAAAAATGTAAATTAATGCATTGTAGATGTGTATGTTTAGAAAATACTTGAACAGTTAGACATCCCACACAGGCAATGTGGACAGGAGCTTGTTGACCAGTTGATGATACTGAAACTACTATAGTGCTTCCTACACCATTAACCTTCAATATCTCACTATAACCTGTACCAGTACATTACTACCTACCTAGGACTTAATAACTATTGTTGAAAAATGAACACTTTGCTAATTAGTATCATTGTAGGTTGAGGTTGCAAGTACTTGCAACCCATTCATCATATCCACACTTCAGCTTATAAAGACTACTTACAACCTATGACCTTTTATACACTTGTAAAACCATTATGATAAACACCATATTCTTGATTATTTAAATTTTCAATATTTGAATTTAAAATACTTGTAGGCTATTGAGAAGGATAAAGGTAAAAAAGGAGGAAAGAAGGGAAAGAAAGGGAAAAATGGAAATAAAGGAAAAGGGAAAAAGAAAAAAGGAGAGAAAGACCTTACGCCCGACAGGTAAACAAATTCATTTATCACTAATTGTTGTTATTATTATTAGTTGTTGTTACTATTGTTGTTGTTATTATTATTGTTGTTGTTGTCATTGTTTACAGAACTATTGAAAGTCTTTATGAAGAATTGGCTGGAGAAGGTGTTGTAATGAAATGTCCAAAATATCATCTATCAGATTATATTGGAGACTTTAGGTACAGCAGTATTAAAATAGCATTAGTAGCATTGTTCATATTCATGTACATCCCATTCCATTATACAGTGTATGATCCACTTCCTTTCTCCTTTGCTCCTTCAGTTATTTAGCTACCACACTGCGTCAGATGCCTGCTGATCCTAACAACACAGACAAGAATGCAGAGAAGATTGAGCCAATGCCTTCACTAGCTGACATTAAGAGAGTCCTAACTGAACACTGTATACTACCACTAGGTAAGAGTATGGCACTATTGTACATGTAGATACAAAATGTCCTCATAACAGTATAGTGCTTTACTTTTGCGGAGCTAAAATTTCGCGGATTGATAAAAATCAATTTTTTGCGGAAATAACTTTTGCGGATTCGCAATGATGGTGCCACACCTTTAATGGCAATTGAAATTTTAGCGGATCTTTAATTTCGCGGTTTTATGCTAACCGCAAAAATAGTGAAAGTTTAGCTCCTCGAAAATAAAGCGCTATACGGTATAAAGGTATCCTTCTTAAAAAGGTGTATAAGAAGGTGTCCTAATTATAGAGGCTACACTGTACATGAACTGTAGGCATATTTGTACATTATGGAAAATGCATGTATTTTTTGCAAATAATGCTATTTGCAAAAAATGAATGTACATGTATTATAACATGTATTTCTTCTTATGCAGGATCACAGGCAGCTCATGAGAAGGCTCCACACATCAAGTCTGTGATGATAACTGGCCCCAGAGGGACTGGAAAGAAGAGTCTGGTTCATGCTATATGCACTGAGACTGGGGCCAACCTCTTCAACCTCACGCCCTCTAATGTGGCGGGGAAATTCCCAGGAAAAGCTGGACTGAACATGCTCCTGCACATGGTCTTTAAAGTACGCTAATGATAAAAATAAAAGAATAATAATAACTACATTTGTAATAATTATTCATTAAAAGGTTGCTAAAGTCGTGGCCAC